AATGAGTAAGTTAACAAACTAAGAGAAAATAAAATGATAAGATAAAACTAATAAATAATAATAATAATACAACAAAAGTAGTTAACATCAATGTTTTTAAACCCGGACCGGGGAGTAAACCGGAAAACCTTCCAGTTCATAGTTCGACCGGTTCAACCCCGATTCAAAAGTTTAATAATTTTTTATTCATTTTAGTATTAAAAATTTTGAATAAAACTAAAATATTTACTTTAGAAAATAACTATTTAATAAAAACCGGTTGAACCTCCCAATTTTTACCGGTTCAATCGGGTCTTGACCGGTTTAATTAATTCTTTGGCTTTGTGATTGAACCGGACCGGAGGCATGGCTAGTTTGCGGTTCGACCGGTCGAACGGCCGGTCCGGTCCGATTTGCAAAACATTGGTTAACATCATGACAAAATGAAAATTTTGAAAAAAAGAAGGTGAGGGAAGAGAGGAGGTTTGTAGGAAGACAATTCTAAATGGGTTAATTGGATTTGATGGATTACCCAATAATACCCAAATGGATATTATTGGGCAAACCATTTATACCCATATGCAAAATTTTAAGATACCCATGCCCATCTATTCATGGGCGGGTATGGGTAAATTTAGTTAAATGGATTTGTTTGACAGCTATACTTTTAAGTATTTATTGGCCAATTTCATTTTTAGTTTCTCTAAAAGAATTCTCCTTCAGAAACCAAAAGTAAGGTAGATCGTAAATATTACTTTCCTTTTAATTTAAAATTGAGGTAAGAATATCTGTGACGACCCTACCTCCTTCTAGGGTGTACCTTAAAAGTTAGTGGATCGTCTGTCTGACTCTCGCCAGGACTCATTAATTTCATGTTAACTTTAGAGATAACATTTGATATGTGACGCCCCGAAAGAATGAGTGCGAGAACCCGAAAATTTTCTAAGTTTCTAGGGTTTATTTTATTGATCGCCCGCCTTTTTGACAATTTCTTTATTAGAAAATGTTCCCAGAGCATTTTATGAGTAAATATAGTTTTTAGATGATTTTTCTAGTATCGGATAGTTTTTGAGAAATTAAGAGCATATATCGGACGTGGGACCCGCTAGTGCGGAAAGTTCGGAAAAATTCGGCCAATTAGTGTAAGTTTGGGATACTGTGATTATTTTACAAGGTGCTAAGAGATAATTAGATGTTACTTAGATGGATGAGAGTTGGAGAGACAAAAAGATAAGAACTATTGTTAAAATGAACTATTGTTAAAATGAACTATTGGTTCTGGATTTATCATTTGAAATGAACTATTGTTAAACCGATTTGATTACTGATTTTACTGGTTACTCACTGAGCTTCTAGCTCACCCCAAAAATATTTTATTCCCCTCCACAGGGCTCGTGGCGAAGGAAGGCTTGTTGTGATTTTATTGTTGTGGAATTTCTCCTGTATAATAATTGGGATCATGGATCAGAGTGGCGCAGTGGAAGCGTGGACGCTTCGCTTATGACATGTAATTTTTGGAGAATTTGATGAATATTGGAGATTTATATTGTAATATTTGAGGTTTATTCTTGTAATTCATTTGAGGATTGTAGTGAACGACTGAGTCCCGGCGAGAGTTGGGCAGGCGGCTCGCCGAACCCTCTGGTTCGCCCTAGGGGGAGGTGGGGCTGTCACAGTTGGTATCAGAGCTTAGGCTTCAGATCTCTGTAGAGTATCCTAGGCTTGAAGTTTAGGATGCCGGACTGTGGGTCTGGTTTGAAATGTAAGTGATCCCTTGTAGGAATGAAAATCCGACAAGTGGGATTAGAGTAACTCCTAATGCTTGAGTGAAAATGCTCGAGTGACTCTTGAGGGATATTTGATCTGATTAGTACAAGTGGAATGTCGAGGACGACATTCTTTTAAGGAGGGGAGATTGTGACGCCTCGAAAGAATGAGTGCGAGAACCCGAAAATTTTCTAAGTTTCTAGGGTTTATTTTATTGATCGCCCGCCTTTTTGACAATTTCTTTATTAGAAAATGTTCCCAGAGCATTTTATGAGTAAATATAGTTTTTAGATGATTTTTCTAGTATCGGATAGTTTTTGAGAAATTAAGAGCATATATCGGACGTGGGACCCGCTAGTGCGGAAAGTTCGGAAAAATTCGGCCAATTAGTGTAAGTTTGGGATACTGTGATTATTTTACAAGGTGCTAAGAGATAATTAGATGTTACTTAGATGGATGAGAGTTGGAGAGACAAAAAGATAAGATTAAAACCCTAAAGGACCATTTGTTACAAAACCATTGGACCTTGACATTTGACCAAGACTTTTCTAACTTTACTAAAACCAATTTGGACCCAATTTCTCTCCATTTTAGCTTGTCTTGGACGAAATTTTGACAGAAAAGAGAGAGAAAATCCATCATCTTCCACTTCAATTTCTTGTCCAAATCTTGAGTTCCAACCGATTAAATTGCAACCCACTCCATAAAACTTGCTAGCTAAGGAAGATTGAAGCTCTTGGTGGAGTTGTTTTGAAAGAAAAATCCCTAAGTCATCACCTTTCTTGATATTTGAAGGTATCATGTCTAGCCATCTTTCCTTTGTTCTTGATTATGTTAAATTAATGACTTGTGATAGCTAAAGAGGTGTTTTAGTGGAAAATTTCTGGCTTGAATGCAAAAATTTCCAGTTAGGGTTTCATTTTTCCCCAATTCTGCTCGGCACTGTAGCACCTAGTTAGAGGCCGAATTGGCCTTAGCACAAAACATGAAAGTTGTAGAGAATGATGTTTTCTAGTTGCCTGTAAATTTTCATCCCAATCTGAGCTGGGTAACCTGAGATAAGACGGAAATACCCAGACTGGTCTAGGTAGGAGTTCAGTGAACAGGGTTGTCTTTTCACCCAATCTAATCGTGACTTTTCACCATGATCCTTACCGAATTAGATTTTTCCCAAAACATGAAAGTTGTAGCCAAGGGTATAAACTAGTTGCCTGAAAATTTTCAACTTGATTCGACCACTGTAGCATGTTAAATGACCGAAATACCATTGACTGTCCATGAAACCTGTTTCGCGCCCAGAATTCTGTTTTCGTGTAGTTTTCCATTTTTGACCATGAAAATGCATGATTTGGCCTTGGCTTAAAACATGAAAGTTGTAGGGAATGACATTTTTGAGGTGCCTACAAAACTTCAGATCAATCGGAGTAGTGTAGAATGAGAAAAGTCGAAATTACTATTGCTGTCCTGGTTTTACCCGAATGTAAGAATTGCGTCTGTAATTGGTTGTTTTGGCTGGCATTGCTTCCGAATTGGTTGTTGAGGCCTTCTGATGAAATGTAGCCCTGTTTCTAATCTTTCGGATGGCTTTGGAATTTCTGGATTTGGACTTGGATAGCCTGATTTATGATGTTTCCGCTAGAATGCGTTCTGTGAATCTGTTTTTCCGGTTCTGGTGTAGTTTCTTGCATTTTTGACCTGGTTACACTCGAAACTGGGTTGAGTGACCTTCTGTAATATTGTAGCCCTATCTCTTAGCTTCGAAACGGTGGGTCTTGTACCTTCATCCGACAATCGTAGCGCCTTTGGTACCATTACCGCAAAATGACGTCCAAAACTGTTTTTCTGGTTTTGAGCTTGACTTTCATTTCCGGACTTTTCCCTAACTTGACTTGTACTAGTACTACTTGGAGCTTGCTGAATGGCTATTGGATGAACTTGTTGTTGTGTGTGTACCTTTGGGACTGGCTGAGGATATAATGAAGCCATGATGGTCGGAAAAGTTAGCAAATTTAGGGGAAGTGCTGTCCGAACTTTGAAGGGACTTGTTTGCATTAAGTTTGTGATCTAAGGCTTGGATTTGAGCAAGGCAATGTTATATGATGGATGATTTCTGAGCCATGGAGGTGAGTGACCCTAAACTATTTCCAAAGTACTTGTGAAACGTTTCTTGCATTATTTACTTTTGAACTGTTTCCAAAGTTACTTTTGAACTGTTTTCTTGCATATCATGCGTGCTTGCATGTGAGTGATCAGGATTTCCGTGTAACTCAATACGAAAATGAGTTTACTATGAATGGGCACTTAGGCGAGGGTGTACTTTATCGCACTCGATCTAAACCCCATTAGTTGCTATTAATACCTGTGAAATATGATTTTTATGATTTGTTATAGAGCATTCATGGCTTGTGAATATTTGCAGAGCATTTATTGCTTGAGAGCATTTATTGCTTGAACCAGAGCATTTATTGCTTGAACCAGAGCATTTATTGCTTGAGAGCATTTATTGCTTGAACCAGAGCATTTATTGCTTGAACCAGAGCATTGCTTGAGAGCATTTATTGCTTGAGAGCATTTATTGCTTGAACCAGAGCATTTATTGCTTGAAAAATATTTTAGAGCATTTATTGCTCGTGACTTGGGCAAGAGAAGTGAGCTGTGTAGCTCAGGATCTTAAAGGTCAACCAGTGATCAAACTCGACAAAAAAGTTGGCTTGGGAGCCACCCGTATCCTTTTCATGAATGTTACTATCGCTTTCCATTGTAAATGTTTCTTGAATTATTGATACTCCAAATTTAATGTTTTGTACATGTTGTAATTGTTTCTGGATTTATCATTTGATTTATGACATCATTGAAATGAACTATTGTTAAACCGATTTGATTACTGATTTTACTGGTTACTCACTGAGCTTCTAGCTCACCCCAAAAATATTTTATTCCCCTCCACAGGGCTCGTGGCGAAGGAAGGCTTGTTGTGATTTTATTGTTGTGGAATTCCTCCTTTATAATAATTGGGATCATGGATCAGAGTGGCGCAGTGGAAGCGTGGACGTTTCGCTTATGACATGTAATTTTTGGAGAATTTGATGTATATTGGAGATTTATATTGTAATATTTGAGGTTTATTCTTGTAATTCATTTGAGGATTGTAGTGAACGACTGAGTCCCGGCGAGAGCTGGGCAGGCGGCTCGCCGAACCCTCTGGTTCGCCCTAGGGGGAGGTGGGGCTGTCACATGATAAACTCTCATTAATCTTACATTAACTTCAGAGATAACATTGTGGTATACTAAAACCACACGTTTAAATCTTTTACAATGCCAAGTTTAATACAAAACTTCAGCCGTGGTATGATACTAGATAATTTACAATTTCAAAAGACTTCATGTTAACTCGCTAAGCTCCCTTATTCGTTTCTCGACCACCAACTCCTGTAAGGAAAACAAACTACAAGGCTGAACTAAAACTCAGTGAGGTTTGCCGAACAAGTAACATTCAATAAACACTTAAATCAGTAAAAGTAAGCAAGTAATACAATTAAACAACTAAGGAACACTTCACTGAATGAATTAGAGAGCACGTCACTGAGCAATCACTTTTAAAAGGATACGGTGCTCGCATTAGAGCCACTTTCAAAAGGATACAAACTCCTCTTGGGAGTCATTTCAATATCATTGCACACTCATTTCAATATCATTGTACATTCATTTCAATATCATTGCACACTCCGCCAATTCCCCTCCTTATGTCCTCCAAAACAATAAACAATTCCCTACATTCAATAATCAGTTCAATAATCTCCTAACTTCAAGATAATACTCGAGTATACCGAAACATTTACCCAAAGCTTCCGTCCTATCCGACCAAGCCCTTTGCTGGCTCGAATAGTTCGTTGAACAAAGGGTTTTGGGGCCCAGTTCAGCCGATGCGGTAAAGTACACATGCGACTTACATTCATGCACACTTACAGTAACATTTGGTCAATTATTAACCTTACAGTAACATTTGGTCAATTATTAACCTTACAGTAACATTTGGTCAATTATTAACCTTCAAACTCAACTAAATCGAGTGCGTAAAGTACACCCCCGACTTAGAAGGCGAGGAACAATTGAGATACACTTTACAATGAATCACTAGCAATATTCCATAATAAGCACATTTATCACATAATTTCACTTAAGTAAACACAATCAGTTAAACATAAACAGTTAAGCACACAAATCCGGAAACACTCACCAAATTCCAAATAAATTACTCTCGAGTCTCGGGTTTGCTTTCTGGCTTACAGCTACCGCCTGAGATTGTCGCGCCCCACTTTTTTTGGAAAAAATAAAATAATTGTTTTTTGTTGAATTTTATTGATTTTAAAAAAATGAATTCTTTTGATGAAAAAATATGGATTTGGGAAAAATGAATTTTGTTGATAAAAACAAAAATGGGTCTAAATGGGACTTTTGAAAATGCGACGATTTGACCCAAAAAAATAGTTTAAAAAGGGTTTTTATATAAAAAATGGAGTCGCCACTTGGTATAGAGTTAGGGTGTACCAAGTCACCCAAAAAATTGAATTGTTTAAAGTAAAATAGGAAAAAGTAAGAAACCCTTTTTAAACGACTCCTAGTCCACGTAAAACAAAGACAAAGGTTCGGGAGTCACATTTGACGAAGGGGAAGGCAAGGATAAAAATCCAAGGCACCCCTTCGACCTAGCCAAGGCTAGTTGCGTGATTTAACCCTTATTTTCCTATATTTTCTACCCAAAGTATGTATTGCAAATTGGATTTGACTAATGAATGAGAAATGCAATCCTAAATCTAAGAAATGTTTCTTATGAGGCTTTTGGTCCCATTCACACGAGTCGTGACGGCCAATAAGGAAAGTCCTCATAGAAAATCATGAATGATGCAAATGAGGACTCTAATAAGAGTGTAAGTGTGCAAGGTGTAGAAAAGTGCATGTGTGCAATTTGAGAAAAAGTGTTTGTGCGCAAATGGATGAAAATATAAGTGTTAGTGTGCAAATGGATGAAAATATAAATATATAGGTATAAATGGGTGCAAAGTGTGAGGTAGAAAGTAAAGAAGGAAAAGAAGTGTGTGAATATGGCATGTGAATTACAATATATAATTAGTGAGGAAAATAATGAGAAAATGATATGAAAGTGCATGATCCTAGAGGGATGCATCAGGTCGAGTACGGGAATGACCTCTAATTTCGTGATCTCAATTTTCCCTTTGATTAGAAGGGAGAACTAGCATGCTAAGGCTATTTTGAAGCCACACTCGCTCGTTTCCCTTACCCAAGGGGTTTCTCAGGCAAATGGACCCTATAACTAGCATGAAATGCAAAGGCCTAAAATGAAAGGGAAAAGGTTAGAGGGACATGCCAAATGCCATAAAAACTAAAAAAATGCATGAAATGTAGTGAACATGCAAACATGTACTAACGAGGGGAAATCCCTCAGGGTCTAGCGTTGGACTAGCCCATTCTATGAATTCCGACTAGCGTTGGACTAGTGGAAACGTACATTCATTCATCACATTCATTCAGGCTATGGAAAGCGAGTAGACATGCCAAACACTTATAAACACATAGCACATAACATTTAGCATGCTCGACTAGATGCAAGGCCCTAACAAAGCAAATTAACACGTAGTAACTAAGCATGCAAGACACATAAGACAATTAAAGCCTTAACTATTACATTTGCTAGCTAGGCACATGACTTCGATAGGTCTTCATTGAATGCTCCTCCAAGCCCTATCTATTACAAGCCAAGAGGTGTACACATACCCCATTAAAAGAATAACTTAATGAAAAGCAAGAGTAAATGACATAAATAAAAGAAATTAAGGAAAGGCTAAGAAAGCAAAGTAGACATGTATTTCTCACGTAGCATGTTGGTTCACATAGGAGAGACACAAAAAGGGATAAAGAAAATATACCGCCCCCTTCGAGTGATGACCAAATGAAAGAAAAATGGCTTCAAAATAATAAAAAGGTCAAGGTACCTCAAATAGTAAAGTAACACAAAGTCACTAAATCTCCCCTAATTGCAATTTAAATGAAATCAAACAATACATAGTTTTCCAATAAAGGGATCCACCGAGGACCCAAATGCAAGCATTAATCAACCATTCAAAGCCAATGGGAACATCTTAGAAACTTTGAAATTCCAAGAGCAAGAAAAGGCCAAAGCCAAATTATTTCAGAAAATTCAAAAAGAAAGGCGAACACAAGCTCATTTGAACACAAAGTTCTTAAACTCTTGCCTTAAGTATCACCTTAGCAAAACATGGTAACCAATGAAGTCAAGCAAGTAATTGAATTGAAACATTAATGTTACCAAAGATTCAATTATGAACACTAGCCAAGCATTCAAGCTTAAACAAACACTTTTAGGAACTTCCAGGGTTCAAGGGCAAAAGAAAAGGCAAATAATGATTCAAATGCAAATATCTTAGGACCTAATTGCAAGAACATGGAATGTAATTGGGCCATAGTGGAACAAGGGGAGACTTGGGGATCAAAGTGCAATTTTCAGAAATTAATTCATGCAGTTTTCATGCAAGCTACGTGAAAATCAACATGAGAAACAACATTCTGCAGCAGAAATTTCTGCTGAAAGCTTTCGGCAACCCAGAAGACAACCGTGACTTTCATTTTCTCAACCTTAACACCATTTTGATCGAAAAATCTTCTAACCAAAACATTAAAGCATGAATCTAACAACCAAACAAGCAAGTAAATCAAATTCAAAGTGAGTTTCTGCAATATTTTCTCTCATGCTTGCTCAAACGAAACCCAACTCAAACTCACATCTTATTTTCCAAAAAATCAGATTTCAAGTTCACATACATAGCTTTAACTAAGCTGCAAACTATGTCATTACCATCGCCTCAACAGGTAGAAAACTTAGAAGGAAAAAACATGCAAGTTCTATGCAATAGCCATGAAACAAGTTTCTGCAATTACTTCACATACTCTAGCAACCGAAGACTGCTGCACTTTCTTCTCAAGCTCAAGCTTCTTAATCACAACCGTGATCAAATATTTTTCAGCATGGTGTTTAATCATAGCTCAAGTGTTTTAAGGACTCAAACGTAAACTTAACATCAAATCATTCCATTCCTTCTCCTTAAAACCAGATTTAACAAGCAATTTAAACGTAAGGGTCCCTTAAACAGCCATGGAAAAGAAAACAAAAAGACAAAAAGATGCAGCAGCTTTTTACTCCTTTTATCTTAGCTCAGCCATCTTTGCATGCAAACACTCAAATCAGTTCTACCAATTTGTCATTTACAGACCAAATACAAGGAATTTGCCCCCCAAACATGAATAAGAACCCAGAATTCGCAAAAACAAACTGGAAAATTCTTTTCTTCTTCACTCGGCTACACTGGAAAAATTCCAGCAGCTTTAGTCCATCTTTAAACCGAATTTCCTCGGCTGAAACACTAAATTATGTACCCAAAACTAACATGCAAGACTAATAAATGAAGTCATTATCAATTCCAGTTCAAAACAGGGTCGGTCACCAACAAAATGTATCCAAAATTCCAGAATTTGTTCAACTATTTACGGATGACATGCATGCAGCAGATTTTTTTTTCTTGTTTCATTCAAATTTCTGGTTTACACACAGCTAATTAATCTCATGCAGGGCTTAATCATCCAGCATTTAGTTAGCTAAACACACAACCCAGTGAGAATCAAACACTTTCCAGCAAATCTCATTCTAAAATACCCATACAACTCCCAAAACAACTCCATCGGCTAAGCTGGAAAAGTGTTTAGCAGTCCAACAACTTCTAATAAAAAAAATTCCAGCCATGCAATCAGATTCCTGGCCATAAGGTTCACATGCAACACCAAATAAAAAGGTTATCTATCAAATTGGATCCTCAATTAAGCTCAGATTATCACATGGAGTCAGAATTAAAATTACATGTCCCAAATTAGTTCATCGGCAGAGACATTTAGCCAAAACAGAATTTCTGCATGCTTCATAACATCATCCGAATGCACAATTTAACATGCATGGTCTTAATCATCACAATTTCATTCGGCTAAGTACACTTAGGTGCTCAGATTGTCCTAGAAAAACAGAAATACAGCTGCGTTCTCTCATCAGTTTCTCGGCAGCAACACTTAGCCAAAACAGAAATTTCCTAATGGCTTGATTTCTATCCACCGACTGTACAAGCCTCACATGCAACTCGCATATAGTTTCCTCCACTAGTAATCAACCTAAAAAGTCCAGAAATTACCTCACAGCAAGCTAAGCTCTTGCACAGAAAGTCTGAAAATTTTTCTTCCTCTCGGCTCTCACGCACGGCTGAAATACAGGTTTACTTGGGCTGTGGCAGATGATGGAACTGGTGGTGGTTGCGGCTGGGAAACTTGATTGCAGCTGGTAGAAATGGAAGTGCAGAATGGTGAAACTTGCTCACGGTTTCTCCCTGGCTTCACTCTAGCTTTCGGACAGAACCAGGAAATTTTGCAGCCGCGGTTTCTCCTCTTGCTCTCACCCTCTCTCGGACAGCTCAAGGCCGCAACTCACTCCACCCTTTCTCTGGTTTCCTCTCGTCCTCATGGCTTGCTGATTGCAGCTCACTCTCTCTCTCTCCCTGTCGATGATCACGAGGCAGATGGAAAATCTTGTTGTGGTTTTGGGATGTATTGATGCCGAGGAAAAAAAAAAATGGAATTGGTGGTGCGAGGTCGTGGTGATATAAACCGGCACTAAGGATAGAAAATACTAGAATGTGAAGTGGAAATGGATTCGGCAGAAATAGAATTGTGATTTTTTTTGATTTTTTTTGATTTTTTTTGATTTTTTTTTTGATTTTTTTAGATTAATTAAAACAAAATTAATAATAATAAAAAGAAATAACAAAACAATTAACATTGGATAAAGAATAAATAAACTAGAAACAACAAAATGCAAATTCCATTTTCCTTTTTTTTCATTTTCATTTTTAAATAATGAAACTAAATCTAAAACAACTAAAACATATTTTTTGAACGCTTTTCTTTTTTCCTTTGAGAAATTCTATGCTAAAATGGCTAAAATAACTAAAACTAAAAGTAAATAAAACTAATTGTGACAAATAAAAATAGAACAAATAAAAAACGAATAGTAAATAAATAAATAATAAAACACCAAAAATTTGGTGTCTACAGAGATAAATTTATAATTCTAAAATGAAGATACAATTAGTAGATAATCACTTATCATTTGTGACCTTATAATTTAAACTTATTAAAGTCAAGTTTTGGCTTTAAAATACAAGATATAATATATCCAACACCTATCTTACATTTTATGTCGACTTATCAACTTTATCATTTTAATCTAAAGAAATATACATATATTCCAAGTTTAAAGTCTTGTAAGAGGTTTAAACCAAGATTAAACCATTCTCTATTCAATATTCAAGAATTAAAGCAAGTGAACTTTTCATTTGTTCCATTTAAGCTAAACCAGATTCTAAGTTGTTTGTAGTTTAGATTTGGTTTCACTACACCAGCCCCCTCAAGTTCTAAAGTCTTTAAAATGCTTATGAAGACAAGATTAAGTGGTTAGAAGCTGTTTAATGTATATAGCTACAGCTAGTTACCTTAGAGTTTCCAAAAACATCATAGAAGGCTTAACTAATTACCATTTCAGCCAACAAACCAAAATTCCAGCAATATTACTTCAGATTTTCAACAAAACTTCATTCTTTTACTTGCTTACATCTTTAAGTACTTTAATGTACTTTCGGTCCAGCATAAGCCAAGGCAAGTCACACCTAGTTCCAGTAACTCATTCAATCAAACGTTATTCACAAAGTCTGTCAGCATTATTTGCATTAGTTGTTAGTTTTTCTAACAATGTAGCAGCTTAATTTGCAGCTTTTACTCCCTAATTGCTTCGGTTTAACCCTAACTTATGGTGCCAAACATGATTACTAATCACAGAGCAGCCTTAGTTATCATCTGTGGAAGTTTACAGGGTTAGAAATTGAAAGAAAATCTGATCAAAGTTGATTTCCTCCCTCTCAGTTTCACAGCAGGTTGCATTTCCTTTTTGCCAAATTTAGCTAGACTTTTCCTAAGTTTACTAGTTTCAGGGTACCTTTCAATCGTGACAAGAGATCATACATATTTCATGTGTTTGCTAGTAAGTGTTTCCAATTGTTCAAGTAACAAGCTGCACATTGTGCTTCATTTCCTTGGCCAACTTACTTGCAATAACTTACATTCAGCTTCCTTCATTATACATTCTAATTTACACTTGTTTCTGTCTTACCGAATGGAGTTATGAAACTTTCTGACATGTTACAACTCTATAAACTCGTTTAGGGGCCAAAGTTTGCAGAGGATAGCCAGAGTTTCCAGCTTTTCCCCCTCGGTTGCAGTCAATAATTTCTAGCAAAGCAGGAGTTTATCACTGGATATTTCCTCATCTTTTCCTCTTCAGTTTTAGGTCTCAATCACTCAAGCAGAGGTTATTTGGCCAGCTACAGGTTATCCTAAGCTAAACATAGGAGTTTATGACCAGATTCCATGAGAAAACTAAATCAAATCCCATGTCTGCACCAGGCTGCAAAATCTAATGCATAGCAGCCTGCATCAGATTTCTTTCATGCTCATAGTTCCCATTTTCACAAGTTCCTGTAGTTAAATTTCACCTTATACCAGAAACAAGCATTTTCATACATTTACTACAACATTCTTCCATTTTCCTTCGCCAACAACCTGCAATTTCAGTCGGTCATCACTGAGTTCACATACTGTTCAGTCAATAAACCTTTAAGTTTCAAATCAGAATTTCTTTCTTCAGTCGAAGCTCAGTTTCTGCAATTTCACAGTTTCTGCACAACACTTTCTTGAACCAGAAGCTAAATTTCTAGCTAAGCTCAACTTATATCTCATGTTTAACCAATTATACTATCTAAACAGTGAGTTGTTATGGAGAGTGTTACCTTTTCCCCCTTAAGGTTCGTTGTTGCAGGCTGCTTAATTTTCTGTCTCGGTTCCTCAGTCCTAATTCCAGCTTCTCCTGCCTTCCTTGCTGTATCTTCCTTATCTTTGGTTGTTTGGTGATAAAGCTAGCTATGCTCTTGCTCTCACTTCCTCACTCTCTCTGTTTTTCTCTCGATGTTAGCTTGATAAAGAGAGGGACTGTAGTTTTGTTTTGCTCTCAGCCACCGCCCAGGTATCCC